CTTGCCGATCCGTTCGCACGCTCGCGAATTCCAGGAAGCGATCGTTTCATTCCAACCATCAGGATCGGCTCCTTTCAACGATGCCATTATTGGTGTCCTCTCGAAGGAAACGTTTACGGGCTCTCCTCCTTTTCCTTTTCTCAATATTTTTCTCCTTTTATTTTGATTCCACCTTACACCAACAACGCAGGAAGCTGACCCTTCTGAATTTACCTGTATTTTGTACGCTCGTAGAATTCGATACGCCGATTAAATTGCTGCTAACTTTGATCTCGGGTAAGATCGGAACGAATCCTTGCGTATTTTCGAAGAAGAAATTGAAGTCGTTTTTTTCGATAAGAAGACCCATTCAATCGTTCACAAAACTCGTAGGAGGAATCATCTTATTTTTCATCGCTCAGGGCTTGGATATTAAATGAATTTTTTCGTTTTCGAACGGATTCTTCCTTTCTTTTTTTCTTTTTTTCTTTTTTTCTTTTTTTCTTTTTTTCTTTTTTAGAACCTCGCTCACGAAAATCCTTTTTAATACTCAAAGAGTTCATTCGACGGAGCATACCTTTAGTGTAGGCACTTGACCGTATCAAGTTTCACTTGCTTTCCGGAAAAGAGAGAAGATTACTATAACATAAGGATTCTTCGCGAAAACTGTAATTCGAGATCTTTTTCAAAATATTCACAATCTTATTTATGTTGAGTTGAATTGATTTTTAACTTTCATATGTAATTATATTCTTATACTAAATAATTAACTTTCTATATGTAATGTTTCTTTTTAGAAAATTTGTGAAAAAGTATATATGTTATCTATCGAGTATAAATAAATATAAATATGGAAATAATTAAAAAATTATATAATTATAATTTTTTATCAACAAGATCTACTAGAAAGTTACATTAATTATTGAATATGTTATAATTCTATCATTACATGTATTTAAAAATTATTGACAATAAGCAAATAAAAGATTTAAATATTTCATTCGGAACTTGTTTGGGTGTAACTTCCGTTTCGTACGAGCAGGAAGGAAATCAACGGTGTCGAAAATATAACCGATATATACACACGATTTCGTAACATAATGTAACGAGTCACGATATTAAAAGCTAAACAACGATCTATCGAGCCTAAGAGATCGCTTATCTTCACTCTGAACGCATACTTCGGAGGTCATGGCATTGTAGTATCGCATTCACCATGCCGGTATTTGATTCCACCGAGTTCACAATTCACGTTTCGCCGGTGTTTAACATTGCTAAATCGGTTCTACTTAACGATGACATTCATTCATTAAACTTATTCACGTTAATGTTATATTACAGTGTTTCACAAATTCGCCCAATAAATCAATATACACGCGATTACATATATAATATTAGATTATAATAGATTACGAATAATTTACTCTTATAAAATGACTTGCAATAATAAATAATATATCCTTGATTAATAATTTGCAAATTTAATCTCATTTTACAATGAGTATCCAAAAATTTGCATGAATATTATAATATAATAATAAACAAATGAAATATAATACACACATATAATATGCAAGAGCGTCATAGTTACATAATATGATACAAAATTTGATTCATAATCAATACACGTATTTGCCTGAATAAAATCGAAATTAAATCAATTAGTTTGAATTAATACGAGTGCCTAAAATATAATCATAATAAGTAATAATCCATTAATGAAGGATTTCGAAGATCAAGAGGTTTTAACATCGATAGATCGTTGAATCGATCACGTGACGTAGTTAGAATCGATCTCCTCGCCTCCGCAAACGAGCAGTGAGATTCCTCGATTGTTTTTCGAACGGTCGTGGAGACGCGTTGCACAACTCAAAGACGAAGACGACTTGGACGTGAGAGAGTATAGATAAAGGGAGTGCACGAATGAAAGAGAGAGAGAGAGAGAGAAGAGAGAAACCCGTCCGTTGTGTGTAGCACGTTGGAGATCTCGACTCTCGAGCTCCCTCAAGGTGGTCTCGTCTAAATATAGCCGAGTGGAGCTCAGAATAACACCACGTCGAGCCGGCAATGACCAAAGCCCACCTCACCTCGTCGACGAACAAGGATAAACCTACCAAGCGGGTCACTTTCATATACTTCGACCGATCTCCAAAATCGCACAACAAACAAACGCGATACAAGTTATGAAAACGATCGATCAATCGATCTTTCACATCATTCATGATATCGAAAATATTCTACTTTTTCATTGATTTTTTATCGTTTATGAAATAATTCAATTAGGCATCTTCGATGATTGAACAATCAAATCAAATTGTATCATAAGAAGTAAGATCTAAGATTAAATTACCTTTTTTTTTCTTTTATTTCTAATTATAATAATTTAATAATATCATTAATTATATCTGTATATAATTATCGAACTAGTTTATGAATTTACATAATAAAAAGTGAGACCATAAATAAAATCACTTTTTTCTAATTAAATATAAATATATTAGACAAAGTGGTTTTAAATCGTCATTCGTATACCAAAGATTAACGACAAAATCATTGATTATCAAATAAATCAAACAAACCCGTATTTACAGATTCCGGATATGATATATAACAGCATATAAATCTTTATATTTGTGATGATATTTCTTTCACCAAAAGAGCAGCGTCGAAATCAATTGGAAACTGAGCGCGTTGTTTTACGTGCCGATTACAATGATTTCACCGTCATGGCGATATGCGTTGCGTCGCGTCGCGTTGTGTCATGTCAATTTATTTCTCGCATAGCGTTAGATCCGAGAGCACCGGCTGCAATTCTGCGTTCCTACTTTTAACATATAATCATTCACTTTATCGTTTTGCAGAACCAGATTGTTACGGTTCGCAAGATTTTCTCGATCCTCGATCTGAAAGTTACTGTCATCGCGATGGATCAAGGAAGCGAAAGTTCGCCATACCACTAGAAAAGTGATAGATTGTGAAGGATAGAATATTTATCAAGCCAGAGATGTTATTACGTAAAAAGTAACAAAATTCTAATCATTTTAATATTAAAATTCTACTCATATTAATATATAATATGATGTATTACGTTTATTAATCGATTCCGATCCGTTTTATTTATTTAAATCTTTTCTGTATAATATACCGATAATTATGATAGTGGATTGAAAATAAAAAAGAAAATGAATTTTATATGATTTATTTTATAATATATTAAAAATGATTTATATTATAAAGTAAATTTTTATAATATTTATGATA